ACCCGATGGTGGGATCCCTTTCACAATGTATGGGTGTATCAGATCATCTTTATGGAGCTTGAACAGTTGCAGTGTATTGCAGTTTTGTCAGTTTTACCTCAGTAAAGCTGAAAACCATAAAAAAGCAAATAAAGAGAAATCACTGGCATTGGGAAAAAGCCATAATCATAATCTTTTCTTATAAAAGGACAAATATGTCACATGTATGTAATAGGTATTCATAGAAAGGTAATGGGCTTAGTTGTGTATAGAAAAGAACTTTCTAGTGTTATAATGTGGAGTGTTCTCTAAGAGTAATTCCCCTAGTGATACTCAAAGCATCACCTAAAGAGGCCTGAGGCGTAGTGGAAGGAATGATAAACATGCATGGTTACAAATGTTTTAGCCCTTTTTAAAATTTTTGAATTGGATTTGCAAATTTCTAATGTATTTTATCAAAGGCAGGAAAAATATCCTATAAAGATAGTCCTAAAATCAGTTGGCTCATAGCATTGTGGATAGGGATTCCAACTTCTAATTTCATGGTACAGGATAATGTACCCATACAACTGTTGGGGGAGATTTTTACACAAAGCCATGGGCAATTAAGTGGATCCCATGTTTTTAGAGGTACCTGATGATCCTATCATATAGATTATTTAGTTTTTTAAAACTATCCTCAGTGGGAGTTGGTATTAGTAGAAGATTCTATCAAACATCAAAGAGATACTTCAGCTTAATTCTCACACTGTGATCTGACTTCAGAAATAGCATGCTGTTGATAACAATATGTGAAAACGAGACTCAGCTCTGTCCAGCTTTGTGGTCTCAGCATGTTCATCTGCACCATCGGACTCACCTCTCTAAGTGCTGTGGTTTCAGGAAGGGGCGTGAATAGAGGGTGTAGGGGTTGGCAGAGAAAAGCTGAGCAAAGCCAATGAGAAAATAGAAGCTAAAAAAAAAAAAAAATGCTAGGGTTTCTCTGAGGGATAGTACAAACCAGAGGGAAGCATTTGGAGCAGATTATCGTGGCAGATATTAGGGGGACATTTCTGGGGGTCTGCTCAATTTGAGGTCTCAGTGGGACTGTAGTCAAAGTGAGAGAATTTTCAGTGGAAATGAAACCGTGACATTGCATCAGGCTATGGAAGAGGTGCAATGCAGGGGTGTTTCAATGATGATTCTTTAGCTATGGTCAGGCCTCAAGCCTGATCTCTCTTGACATTCCCTCTCTCAAGGCTGAATCAGGTGCCTGTGGGCTGAACTCACCTCTCTTCCTGGATTTGACTCACTGCCGTGAAACTAATCTTTCTCGTGATCGCTTCTCTCCGAATGTTCATGTTCTGTGGGGATAGGGAGGAAAACTGTACCTTGTGTATCTCTATATACCCCATGCTTGCCAAACACTTAGTAGTTTTCAATAAGTATTTGTTGATTAAATGAATGAATGTTTGGACAATTGCTTATGTGAAGAATCCACATCACATAGTAAAAAGCTTTCCCTACTGATCCATGGCTAACTTTATGAATTAGAGATCTTCTGCCTCTTAAATGACTTCATATTCATAACCTTCAAAATGGGCAAAATATTGGGGCTCCTGGGTGGCTCAATCGGTGAAGCATCCGACTCTTGATTTCGGCTCAGGTCATGATCTCAGGGTTGTGAGATTGAGCCCCGTGTCCACCTCTACACTGGGCGTGGAGCTTGCTTAAGATTCTTTGTCTCTCTCTCCCTTTCCCTCTGCCCCCCCAAGGCAAAATATTAAAATATATTTCTGATGAAGTTGTAAAACTTGAAAACACCACTCATTAAATTACTGCTGTAAAATATAGAGTGTGTGTGTTTCAGAAACAAAATCCCTACCTAGTTAGGATTCTGAGAGAACTCATATCGATCATGCGTGTCTTTTAAAAAATATAATTAAATGGAAGCTTCCTGAGTCATCACTTGAATTGGATGTAAATCATGTCTAATCTGCTTATTAACATGCCCCTCACCTCCATGCCTGAATAACAGAGAAGTCCTCCTAAAAGGTATTCTTACATGTTTCATTTTTATTAGCCTGCTGCAGTTTATTTGATTTTCGTGTGATTTCACCTTTTTAAATGCAGGTAAGACTTTTTGATACAAATACAGCTTCTACAACACGGAAGAAACACCACACAATGCTTTTCAAGGGTAACAAAGGATAATTCACATCTTAGATCCTTACATTAACTTCTTGGATCGCTTACGAGGCTGTAAGCAGGAATTTGGAATGAGGACGAGGACAGCGAGAGGGACTTCCAGAGAGGACAGTTGTCAAATTCCCTTGGATCACCACTGTCCTTCAGGGATTCTGTTAGGGTTTCCCACTCTCCTTCCTGTTTTTACTTTGTTTTGAAGAGGTGGCAGCGGGGAGGTTTCCCCTCTCACTTCAGTTTGCTCTCCTGTGGATGCATGAGCTTGCTTTCCCACATTCCTTTCTGAAAAGTGAGGAATCTGGTTCCCTTAGGTGGTGATGCTTGAGGTGGGACTGAGGGAGGTTGACCCCCGAGAACGTGCTGGCCGGCAGCACATGGCGACGGTGGCAGCAAGGACCCTCAGCAGCCTCCCGGTTGGAGAGGAATTTTCCCCTTCTTCTACCTTCGGAACTGAATCCCATCTCTCATTCTTCTTGTCTCACAATTCAGTGGTGTTTCTTCAAAAACTATGATAGGTTGACAGAATGGATTTCTGCACCACTAATTGAACATCTCTCAAAGTGTGCTCAACTTGGCACCAGAGAGACATCCTTATCTTTAAGTTGGATAAGGCCCTTCACAGCGTCAGCCCGCAGTCCCCTTCCCTGCCCTGCTCCCACCTCCTCCCGCCAAGCGAGGGTGAGTGTGGACTCACGCGCACACACGCACTCTTCCACATTCTAGTGTCTTCACTCAGGCACTTCCTATGTCCGGATGATGCCACTGTCCTTGCAGCCTTGCAAATTTCTACCAGAGGGCACCTGGGTGGCTCTTTCGGTTAAGCGTCTGCCTTCAGCTCTGGTCATGATCTCAAGGTCCTGGGATCGAGCCCCGCATCGGGCTCCATGCTCTGCAGGGAGCCTCCTTCTCCCGCTCCTCCCTGTTCATGCTCTCTCTATCTCTGTCTCTCTCCCTCAAGTAAATAAATAAATAAAATCTTAAAAAAAAAAATAAAAATTCTACCAAACTTTTAAGTCTCTACAAAATACTACTTCCTCTTTTAATTCCTGTCTTTGCCCAGTCATAATTTCATTTTTTTTTTTTTAATTCTGCTTTAGATTTTAGATTTCTGTGAAACCTCTATCATGGCACTCCTAAACAACATTGTGTGGATTTTCAAAAAATGTCTTCTGCATGCACATTTCCCCTGTCAGGGCCCTGAGTTATATATACCAGTATGAATAGACCATCAAATCAAAATACTGTAGCTTTAACGACATTACTGCTAAATGGTGTGTGTGCGCTCCATATAGCTTTAAAAATATGAAAACGTGTTAACAAGAGGTTACCCAATCGTGTAGAGAAGCTACAAACATTAACTGTCTAGGGAATAAAAAAAATCTTCCTTTTTTGTAAAACTTGACCAACTAACCCTCCTAACCCTATACTTCCTGTTAATGATTTGATAGAACCAGTGCTAGAAAGTAGTATGAAGAACTATACAAAGACAGGACTAGTCTTATAGCCGCAGGGTCGATACTGCAATTTGCATTTGCTTGGCTTCATTTAAGATCATTACCTTTGTATCTAAGTTTGTTTTGGAGATTGATTTAGAATTACCTTTCAGTATTAGGTTAATTTGAAAAATTCCCTTTGCTGATATTTTATGGCTTAAATGATTAGATTTCTACATCCATAGGTGTCCTTGGAGCTCTAGGAAGGAGGCCTGCAGCTGTGTTTCGGTTTCTATAGCCCTGTTCCTGAGGCTGAGAAACATCAGATGTTCATAAAGGGGAGGTGCAGGTGCTAATTCATATCAGGTGCATGGCCTGATGCTGTTTTTGCTCTGCTTGGCTGTGAAGAGGTAAGGGTCTGTGCTACGGCAGGCTGGATGGAGACGAAAGAATGGGTAGATACCCAAAGGAAACATCTATGAGACTGGCATAAGTTACCTACAAGATTGAAGTGGCTGGAAAAGGATGATAAAAGAATAAAATAAATAAACAGCAAACCCTGAGAATTTGGGAAGCGACCTTGGGTGGGGTGGGGAAGGTATATTTACTTAACTAGAGGACTATCTCCTTTGTGGTCTATCCATAAATTCTCTTTCAGTCTTTATTATAGCAGTCCAGTAGATGTACAAAGGCTCTGATAAGAGGTGGGCAATTGCCTTGTTTTCTTCTCTTGATCTTCCCACATCTTCTCAATCCTTAAAGCATTCAGCTAGCTAAGCAGAAAATGGACAAAAGTAGGTTTGAATCCTTGCCCCCATCTCCTTCCTTTATCTTCCAAAACATTGTCACCTCAGGTAAAATAAAATACGGAGTTCCTTACAGAACCCACTAGAAATCTATAAATTAGCCCATATTTCAGCCTGAAGAGGAAGACCACTTCATTCTGGAAAAAGAACTGAGGATCTGAGAAGAGCTGGCTTTCAAGGCAGGAGGGGGAAGATGGAGAATTTTTCCCAGTTTCCTGTGCCTGGTAGATCTCATGAATGTGCTTTCCTTACTCTGAAGGTTTTTGAGATTCCAGAACATTAGCAAACATACGTGCACTTTATGTGTAGCAAGGAGTAGTGCTCAAATATTTATTTGAATAAACAAATGCGTATGTTTTTGTTATCTCAACAAGTTCAGCCATGTGTGGTACAGGGGGCATGCCTTCTGGTCTTGCTTTCCGAGTGAAAATCAGATGAAAAGGGGCCATGTTGCCTTTCCTCCTCAGCACCAATTACCCCCCCCCCCCCCCCACAGTGCAGGGGGTCATGCAGGAATCCTAGTGCATTGCTGATCACATAGCACAAGGAGACACAGGCTTTGTTTCACGCATTCTGATCCGGCTTTCTGTTCTTGCAGGTGCGCACATCTTGACCAACTCAGCAGGAAGGTGGATTTTCTTTGCGTTTAAAGAAAAAAAAAATGTCCCTGTGTCTGTAGAGATGATTTGCAGTTCAGCCCGGCTGAAGCTGACCGAATGAGACTATGGGCTGTGCCTCTGCTAAGCATGTTGCCACTGTTCAAAATGAAGAGGAAGCCCAGAAAGGGAAGAACTACCAGAATGGAGATGTGTTCGGCGGTGAGTGCCCTTGAACTTTACCTTTGACCTTTTGACCTGGGCTTTTCACTTTCTCGGGAGCGAATATTTGTAGTGTTTTAGGGGGGCTCTGCTGGTAAAGGGCTGATGAGATATGGCTGGAAATCACTGCAGATCTTTTACGTGGGGCAATTTCCGTAATTTATACATAGAGGATTTTGAGGAGCATGGTGGAGGTTTTATACAGAAGCTAGTATTTCAGTCAAGTTTTAAATAACTGGTAGGACTTAAATGGGTACATAGCACAGCAACCTCAGGGGGTCCTGGTAGAGGTGTGCTCACTGTAAGACCGAAAACACAGAGGTCCAAAAGTGTAGTGAGTGAGGATTTGTAAACGAGAGAGTGAGGTGTTTTTTAGGGTTAGTAGTTACTCTTTATGTGACTTTTTATGTGTATTTCTTCAGATTAAAAAATACAAATACAATGAATTTAGTAATCATCTTTTAACCTTTCTCTGGTGATTCAAAGTGACTTGGGAATATCTAGTGCAAAGATCACAACTTGCCAACCCATGGCCATGTCTGGCTTGCAAATGTATTTTCTTTGGCTCCCAGAGAACTATGAAATAAAGCGCAAGGCAGGGTTCAAAACTCAGGATGTTTCACATAAAACCCCCAAATTTCTTCAGGAAATCTGGCAACACCGGGTTTGTCTTCCCTGAGGCAGTGGCCCCCTCAGTCCAGCTGTGGCCTCCCGGGAACTGCTGAGCCTACCCTGGAGAGCAGCACGTCCAGTCCCTTTCACTCATGAACGTCATCTGCCTGGCCACTTACAGGCTTCTGAGTTTGCCTGGGGATGAGTTGGACCCTTAGAAGATCAGCGATTGCTCTGGCGTCACAGGGCCGTGGGTTAGTACAAAATTCCAGTTAGGAAGGCAGACGTAGCAGTTTTGCTGAATTACTTGAACAGTGATAACCCACGACTGGGCCCATGCATGGCACTCCTGTGTTCAGTCACCGTCAAGTCATTCTCCAGCATTTTGGTCCATCGTAATGGTTATGCCGGTCCCTGGTGAGGAATTGGGGTGTTGTGGGAAGACTGATGCTCTGCTAAAAGTGGGCTAGTATATATGGGAGGAGGAGTTTGTGTTGTGTCGTTTTAAGGAAATGTATGTGTTGCCTGGAACAAATTTGCTTCTGGTGGGGACTGCCTAGAAAATTGAGAACTGTGGCAAAGAATAACATGTGAGCATCTAAATAAAACTCGACTTGGGATCACTGAGACCAGTTTCTGGGAAAACAGTTAATTGGAACCAGCATCATTCTGTCACCCTCGAACACTTAACTTTTAAGAGAACATAATCTAGTATCGAGGATTTGTTCAAACTAACTTCTACGTGATATTCTGTGTCATTATCATTTTTGTAACAAGAGCTACCATTAATGGAGCTGCCACCATATGTTAAACATGCCAAAGCATTTATACATTCATTTTCATGGTGAATTTTCACAACAATCCTGTGAAAGGTGTGTCATCCCAGTTTTACATATTTGGAAGCTGAAGCACAGGAGAGACTAACCAGGTCCCAAGTTGCCCAGCTACGAAGCCACAGACTCCGGTCTCTCTGACTCCAGAGCCCATGTTGCTTTTCTCAGTGTTGATGCCTGGCATCCTGCTGCCTCCCATTGGTCACTCATTCTTCAATGCAAAAGAATTGCATTGGCCTGTACAGGATATGCCAAGACCTTTTGCTAAATGCCACGGAGGGTGCAGAGGTAAATAATACGTAGACCTCCCTTCCTAGGACTTAATAAGAGGATGAGGAAATTTTATGAGGCAGAATAAGCCAAACATCAGGAAAGGAAAAGACATACATCATGATAAGAGTCAAGGGGATGGAGAGACTGCCTTAAAAGTTGGGATCAGAGCAGATTTCTAGAGGGGACATCGAACCTGGCCTTAAAGGACCACAAGAATCTAAACTTGTTGGATGAAGAAAGGCTAGAGGTAATGTGAGACTTACTTGAGAATTATAAATAATCCAGTTGGAATGGAGTATAAAATTTAAGTGAGAGAGAATTGGTTAGAAAACTAAGTTAGGGTTAAATTATAGAGAACTTTGAATACCAAATTACAGTCTTGAGAAAGATAGGCTGTAAGGGCAAAAATCAGTGATATTCAGTATATTGCACTTATATTCTGCCCCACAATGAGACCACCTAACCATCCAGTTGGTAATTCAGTTTCAGCTTTTATAGACGAGGAGACTTTCTATTATTCTAAAGTACTATGTGTATTTGGCAAAAGTTGGCATCTAATAAAGGAGCCTTCTATTAGTCAGCTATCGCTGGGTATTGGACAACCTTAAGATCTCAGCGGCATTCAACAATGAGCATGTCTTTCTTGATCACGAGTTGGTGAGTCAGCTGGAGTGGCTCTGCTCCATGTCTCTCTCATCTTCCTCCTGGGACCAGTGAGCCGCGGGAGGGGAGAGGGGGGCATGCTCTTTTGCAGAAGGGTAAAAGTGCAAGCAATACACAAGGTGCCTCTTAACCTTGGGCTTATAGCTGGCACAGCATCATTTTTCTGGTCAACTCAAGTCACATGAACGGGCTCAAAGACAAGAGGCAGAGAAGCCCATCTGACGGCAGTGCATTCGTGACGAGGGTGCAGATGCGGAGAAGGGTCAAGAATTGGGCCAAACAATTCAGTCCAGCCCCAGCCTGCCTAGTCATTGCTGCCTATGTGGCTGAATGCGGTTCATGCAGTCTGTTAGCTTTTTTCCAGCCTCCTAATACTTACACTGAACATTTATTCACTCCAGCATTCATCATCTTGTTACTCTTTCTAACATAAACATTTGTGGGTTTGTTCCATGGTGTTAGATACAGCAGAACAAGGAGGGAGAGAGCTTCTTGAATCGGTCAAGGGAGATGGTTTTTGATAGTCCCACAGGGCTCTGGGGGTAGAATTGTCAGAGGGCAGTTTGAACATCAGTGCCATTATTGTAGTGTTACTGAATGCTAGAGTCTGTGTATGACAAGAGAAGGTCCTATTTGTGTTTCTCCACTTAAATTTTACTTTGCAAGCAGAGCAAGTGGACAGAATCCCAATATGATCACAGATGGTCACAGGTAACTGGCAGATCTGGCTCACTTTTACCCACTTGATATCTTTGTCACCCATTGTTTCAGTAACTTATTACCGCATCACAAAGAACTCCACATTTAGTGGCTTGAAACAAGCATTGATTTATCATTTATCACAATTCTGTGGGGTGCCTGGGGTTCATCTGCTGTTTTTGCCTGGACTCAACCAGGTAGCGGCATTTAGCTGGGAGCTCAGTGGGGCTCAAGTAACCAAGATGGCTTCGAGTCTCTCTTTCTTAGCTAGAAAGTCAAACTTTTCATGAGGTGGCTGGTTTCTAAGAGAGGAAGTAGAAGCTGTCAGGCCTATGAAGACCTAGCCTTGAAAGTCCAAGAACGTCACTTTTGCCTCATTCTGTTGATTAAAGCAAGTCACAAGACCATCCCAGAGTTGAGAGAGCTAGAGGTCTCCATCTATTGAGTCTGAGGAATTGTTGGGGGCCATCTTTGGAGACTAGTTACCTCAACCACTGAGAGAGGCAGTGAGAACCCCATGACTGGATTCTATTCCAACCTGCACTGTTAGAGTCTGCTTTCCAAATCACTGCTCTGTTTTTTACTGAACAAAGTTGCCTTGTTCACTTTTTCGTAGCCGTTTTTAAATGTTTAAAAAATGTTATTACTGCTTGTTGTTGAAGAGTTGACGAAGTCTGTGAAGGATGGCATATTTGGGGATGGCTCTGAAGTATGTGTCTCTGCATGTATACACACACACAGGCGATCCTTTTCCTAAAGGTGTGAATTTAGTTTCATAGCTTCTAAGGACATGCTGGGGAGCGTTGATAAACAGTGTGTTTTTACAAATTGTAATTTCCATTTTTATGAAGCAGTTGGTCTCCATGATGTTTTGGTTATTTAGGAGAGCAACCGCTCCAAATGTGTGTGACAGAATATGTCTAGAATACTCCACCATAGAGGATTAAGTGACAAAAGAGCATCTTGACTCCTAGATTTCATAGAATTCAGGAGGTCGTTGACAGGGAACTTTATCACTGTTGTTCACCTATAGACTTTCTTTCCCTTTAAATGCCGAAGCATAAAAAGTTTCAGATCTAAAGTTGTGTCTCACATCCGTGTGGCCTGTTGAGAAGTAAAATCCAGACCAGAAAGCTCCATCTCCAGATTGGAATTTTCCTCCCCAGCCATCAGGGCCAATGTGAAGAGTGGTCAGCAGATCTGCCAAGGTCAGTCGGAGGACAGCTGAGCAGATTGCCAGAACCAGCTTGCATCAAACGAGTGACCAGCAGGTTCAAGTTATCATGAACTAGTTAAGCAAGTTCTAAGGAAAGCCAGGTGCTTATTGGATTTCTTTGAACAGCCATTCACTTAGACTATTAAAGTAGGTGCACGTAACAGAGTCAAGCCTAATATTATTAGGGAATTTAACATGTCAAACCTGAGATCATTATCTCTTCTGCAGCCCACCCCAAGGGGAGAAAGCTCTTTACTTATATTGACTTTACTATTTGCCCGGGCCCCACCATTCTTCCAGGAATACAGGCTTTAGTCTTGAAAAGGCTTTAAACTAGGGCCTTTGTCTCTTCCAGTTCCCAGCTCCTGTGACTCTTGCAGTTTTTCCCAGAGGCTCTTTTCCTGCCATTGCTACAGCCCATCGCCCAGAACAGCGCAGTGCCCTCTGACCTGAGCTCCATGAGCCCCCCTGGTTGCTTGTTTTCTTCTTGGATTTTTGTTGTTGTTGTTCATTTTTAACTCTCCATTTTTTTGCGCTATTGTCAGAATCTGTCAGGTTTTTCTAAGTGCTCCTCTACCCGTGTTGATTCTCCTACTCCAGAACGTTCTGTGACGCCTAGTTCTTAGCCAGTAAAATCCTAAATCCTTAGTGAACATGCAAGGCCTCTCAGAGTGCTCATAGCCACCCTGGCAGCCTTGTTTCAC